GTCCGGTTGAAGCAGAGCGGCTGGTTACCACTGGCTCTGGGGGTGCCTCGGAAGACCTTGACGGAGTGGAGCGGCCAGTTCCCGCTGGCCCCGGGGGCACCGAGGAAGGACTGGATGGAGTGGGGCGGCTTGATTCCGCTGGCTTCGGGGGCGTGTCCTCCCCCTTCTACCCTAGGGCATGCCACGGGAAAGGCCCCACCTACGGCAGAGATGGGACCTCGTCCCCTCCTCCCAACTCGTCCTATGAGCATTGCCTCCACCTTCCTCGGTTCAGCTTCGCCCGCTCCTTCGCCCACCGCTTCACCTTCTTGTCGTCCTTCTCCTTCTTCCTCTTCTCATCTGCGACATGGTTCGCCGCCCTCATGGCAGCATACTTTGGCAGTGGCGCGACGGAGGCCTAAAAGACCAAGCCCACCGATAGCTCGACGAAGCCCACGTCCGGCCGCATTACGGGATGTCCCAGGATCAGGAACACGACGTCAGACTCCTCCATCGCCTCCTTGATGCGATGCGTGACCTCGCTGTCGTGGAGCGGCCCTTGGGCAAGCACCATCCCATCGAGCTACGCGCCAGGTGTCATCCCATACAGCGGGAGGGCACGCGCCATCAACGACGCCACCCTCCTCGTGTGATACGCCTCGATAACACCGGCCATGCGAAGGCTATGGCTCTTTAGGAACGCGATGGCATCAAGGATATCGCGCATCCTCTTTATTTCCTTCTCGGGAGGTCCCCACGACCACACCTGTGGTGCCTCTTCGATGAGGCATCCGGTGAAGTCCGGCAAGGAGGCAGCGGCGTCATTCTTCACATAGAACCACTACGCATGCCACCCCTTGTTGGACCTCGACAGCTGGTAGGGCATGTACTCGGCGCACCGCTGCCCCCAAAGGTGGATGCCCGCACATCCCATCAGCACTGGCAGGTCACCAGCTCCATCCCTCTTCTTGAGCAGGGAGATGGAGAAGAAGTACCTCCACTGCTCAAAGTGGGGCTCAATCCCCAGATATCCCTCGCACAGCGCGATGAAGGCCGCGATGTGCTGGATCCTATTGGGATTCAGGTGCTGTAACTCGATCTGGTGATGGTGCAGCAGCCGCCGGAAGAATGGGTGGGGAGGAATCACGAGTCCACGCTCATGGAATTGCGCGAAGGACACGACGTAGGTGTCGGGCGGCGCCGGCACCTCCTCATGACCGAGCACGAGCCATTCCACCGCATCGGTCATCCCACGGAGAAGGCAACGCTTAACAAGGCCCTCCATGCGCGCGTGGGTGACGTCGGAGCGATACCACGACTCCATGGGAAGCAAGGGTGGAGGAACGAAAGCTTTGCTGACGGCAGAAGAGCAAGGGTGGAGGAACAAGGATTTCGCTGGCAGCATAAGAGCGAGGGAAAGATATCTAAAGCGCTGGCAGCGAAGAAGTAGAGAAGGCAAGGCTGCCGTTAGGCATGCCAAAAGGAGAAGGGAAAGGCCGCTATTTATAAGGGAAGGTGGAGCGAGGGGCGAACCGTCTGCCTAGATTGACGCATCTGCCGCGCCTCGTCACATCACCTCTCCAGGAATCCTGCACATGCCACCCCCAGCCACTCCTCGAAGGGCGCGCCGGACAGTGGTTCATTCCCTAGATGGGCCAAAAACCGCCGCAGGTAGGAAGGGATACGGAGCTAAAAACGCTCCCATGGCCCATTAAGGCCTAGGAGTTCGAAGGTTGGCCCACCAACGGGTTCACAACTGCTCTAGGGCAGCTTTAGAGTGAGGGGTGGTAAGGGATGGGCCTACTAGTGGTCGGTACCTAGGCGCACAAGCACCATGGGCATCCCGACGCACGTTCGGGTCTTGGCCAGATCATGGTCCATGGTTTTTCTTCGAAGAAAGACAACGAGCCCTTGGGACCGGTCGAACGGACCCAAGAACTATATGGATTTGCCGCCAGGAATCTGGAGTCGGTCACTAGCTGACCCGTGCTGGACCCCCATGAACGGGAAGCCAGGGCCCCACTCGAACTAGCTCGTCAACAGCTCACCGAGCACCATGATTCGTCCATCGAGAAAAACATGGCATGGCTCAACCCTCCATTTTATAAAAAAAACACTTGAGGGAGGATGACCATAAGACGAGTTGACCCCTCGACCGGCCCCTTGCTACGCGTGGGGGCTCGGGGAAAGTTGGACTCAGAAGGAAACCGAATACGCGGTTGCACGACAATGGTGGATCGATCGGATCCTCGGGAGGGATTGTAATCAAGAAGAGAGATCTTTTTCGAGCCCCCGAATCCTACAGTTGCATGCTCTCGAAGAGTCCGAACGTGATGGAAAGGAATCGCAACCCTACCAAGACATCCCGTAGCCCGCAAAGGGAGATCAAGACCCTCATAATCCTTCTGTCCGAAAAAGCCTTCGAAGGAGTATCCTACTCCTCTATAGGCTCGGGGGCTACTGTTGGGTATCAGTATTAGGGATACCTAGAAGAAGGAAGCTGATGGTCGCGAACGCTAACTCATCCGGATGGTCAAGAGCGTATTTTGGTCTCGCCCGAGTCCAAAGGTATGAGCTCCGTGTCGCCCGACCGAGGGTGCGGGCTCCGTCAGGCTTGACCCCGAGGGCGCGGGCTCCATCTCGCCAGACCCCTCGGGCGCAGCTCCGTCTCGCCCAATCCCTCGGGCACGGACTTCGCCTTGCCAGACCCCTCGAAGGGGGATTCCGCCTCGCTCGACGGGGGTCCGTACCGCCTCCAGCCACTACGGGTCTAAGAGTACGAACCCAGGGTCAAACTTCTAACACCGGAAAGGGAGTAGGCACGTCTTAACGTGACCCGCGGCCACGACGGGCCATACCTGAGGACTCATGTCGCCAACAGTGTCGGCCGTGCCGCTTATGCTACCTAATCCCCGTACGACTTCCGATGAGGGTATCTGCTAACCATGCCGCCCACCGAGATGGAATGGAGGGCCACGACCGGCTGACGACGCCCACGTATAGCGCCAGTGATGAACAGGGTCACGACGTGGAGCTGTCCCCGTCATCATCTACAGGACCGGCGGGACCCGCGTAAAGGAGATGAATGGCGTCGCAACCTCGAGGCCTTCTTCCTCCTCGCTTTTCTCTCTCTCTCTCTTTCTCTCGTGTAACCTACGCCTTCCCTTCATCTATAAATGGGAAAGCAGGACACCACACGAAGGACACGGCGGAACGAGCTCAACGAGACTCAACTCCGTTCGACCCTTTCACCAGAGACTTGGGACCTGCTCCCTCTCTCGTCCGTTTGTAAACCCTACTACAAACTAGTGCCGGTAACACGAGCAGCAGCAGACTGGACATAGGGACATTCTGCCCAAACTAATATAAATTCTTGTGTCCTCCGAGCACACCATCCGGGGCAGACACGCAAATCACAAATTTACTTGTCGATGATTCGAAACACCGGCACATCTAGAAATAGATGAAACATTTTGAATAAACTCTTGCAACATGACTCTAAAACACTTGGAATATATGCAACATGTGCAACATCCCTCGATCTACTTTTACAACATCATGATAAAACAATTGCAACATACATATGAAACGCCTAAAACACCTGAAACATACATATACAACATAAGGGATGGGAAGGCCGGGCCGGTCAATTCCGGCCATCGGGGTCGGAGCCGCCGGCAAGCTGCGGCGCGCGAGCACCGCCAACACTGCCCGCGCTTGTGGGTGCCATGCTCGGGTAGGGAAGACCTAAGGCACCATGGCACATGCGCCCCAGCGGCCATGGCGGGGTCAGCGGCATGCACGACGGTGATGGGAGACGGACGGCGAGAGCGGCACAGGTGTCTCGGACGGGCGGGCGGTGCGGCCGGTGATGGGGCGCGGGGCGGTGGCCGACAAGTGTGCGGTGGGGGAAGGGGCGCGGACAATGAGCGTGCCACGTTGCTTCAGGCCGGGCGGATAAGCACGAAGGAGTGGAGAGGGCCGGGCGAATAATTACGAGACAGTGGGGATTTTGTTTTTGTTTGAGCCCACTCCTGGGGGGCCGCGTCGGGACGGGAGTCACAGACGGACGCCGGAGTTGAATCATTATCGTTTTTTTTGTTGACGACTACCTGTCTGTCTCTATTAATGATTTATTGAGACAACTCACTTAAATGGCATGCTTTTGTTCTTAGCTGTTTATTCTTGACTACTACTTATACATGTTTTTTTTGTTAAGAGCAACTTTAAGAGACTTGCTATTCATTGCGGATTTGATGCAAAATGAGCCTCCAACCGACTGAACCGACGCTCCAACTTGGCTTCGTGTTCATCAAAGCGACGTCTGAACTCATCGGAGAGGATGATCAGGTTGGCTCCATGATACCGTGGGCACCCCGACGGCTGGTGTAGTGGTCACAATCCGCGGTAGTGTGTGCAAAATTGACGGCGCCAAGGAGAAGAAGCAGAAGAACAGAGCGGAAGGAAGGATCGGTGAAGTCTGGTACTAATCCGTGGCAAAGAAGGAAAACAGAGGAAGCCAAGAGAGGATTGACGAGGACAGATTGTCAATATTCAGAAATTTGGTTTACAATTTGCATAACTTGCAATCACTCTCTTCTCATCACCAGGTTCAAAGCTAGAATTATCACCCATTGTCTTTGGTTTTTTGCATAACTTGCAATTCTCATCAGATTATCACTCGTTATTGTTTGGTTAGTTTGGTTCGTTTACGTGAGAGAAAGTGTTGGTTCATGTGAATAGTGTCCATGTGAGGGAGCTGGCCACAGCCGAACACGCTGTACGTTTTTTACGTTTTTTTTCTGGACGCAGGGTTACTCTCTCCTACTGCTGCCACTCTGGGCCGAGCACACGACTGTTGGGCCGTCGATCCCGCACGTGCCGGGCGACTGCTTCTGCTATCGATTCAGCATCTCCAGCGTCAGTAATCAGTATTGTCTGTTGCCGGATCCGGAACAGTACTGACATGTGTACTCTGAACCGGACCAGCAGCAGTACTCTTCTTCCTACGCCTGGCAGCGATGCCGCGCGCCATGGCCTGGCTGTCGCGGACCTCGCAGAGGTAGAGGCGCACGACGCGCGCGCGGAAGGGGTTGGCCTCGGGCAGGCCCTGCCCTGTGCTCGTCGAAGGCGGCGCACAGGCGGCCGACGAGCGCGTCGAGGCTGCTCCAGGCCTGGCGCAGCGGGCACGGGCACGGGCACGGCGCGGGCGGCGACGGGTGGCCGTAGAAGGGGCACCACGGCGCGTGGACCTTGGTCTTGCCGAACTGGTCGAGGTAGCGCAGGTAGTCGAGCACGTGCGCGCCGCTGCTCCGCGCCGGCTCCAGCGGCGGCCGGTAGCGGTTGCGCAGGTACTGCCCGAACGAGTGCCAGTCCCGCCGCTTCTGCGTCTCGTAGGGGCCCCGCCGCGGAGCCCGCGCCTCCTCCGCCCTGCGTGTCCTTTGCTTGCTGCCTGTAGCGTCGATCCGGGACAGGAGAGGTGGAGGAGAAAGAGGGAGGCTGGCGTGGCGGACGCGGCTGACCGGGCGGTGACCCCAATCATTTATGGCCACGGGTGGCGGCTGCAACAGTGCTCGCTCCGGACGGGCGGCCTCACCTCGTGGGCGTGGCGTGGGGGCGGGTGTGGAGCCTGGCAGAGCGATGGCCGTGGTACGGTCAGGGTCTCGCCTGGGTGCCTGGGTCGGGCGACCGGCAGGCTCGGCCAGAGTGATTCTTTCCACGTTGCTGCCTGCACCGATTTTTTTTTTTTTTGAGCTTTTTTTCAAAAATATTCACAAATAGATCCTGATTTGATTTTCGTTTATGGACCCTGATCTATGCGCCATAGCTTTTGACGTCAAGAAAATACATCTCGGCGCCATGGCCAATGGCGCCGAGGTCTTGACGAGGCGTCGGACGTAGCAGTGACCTGGTGCCAACATGGATAAGGCCTCGGCACCGTAGATCTTGGCGCATAGATCTTGACGTTTGAAATAAAACAAGTATAATTGTTCCGAGGAATATGCAACAACACCATTGTAGTTCAACTGGTTAGAACGTGTGCGACTTAGCTCGGTTCGAACCGAGCGCTAAATCTTTTTTTGTTATTTTTTTATAAGCCGGAAAGATCTGATCACCATACAGGGAGAAGACACAGATCTGGCACAGGATTTAAGCTGTTTAGGAATGGTTCACTTTTTTCATTCGACGCGAAACATCCACATGCTCTGCGCTCGCAGGCCTGTTCTTCTGCTTTCTGCTGTGAGGGCGATCGAAGGCCTCGGTCTCGATGTCCAGCAAGCTGTTATCAGTTGCTTCAATGGATTTTCCTTGGACATCTTCAAGGCTGAGGTAATGTACAATACAATTGCACATATTTTTCTTGTCATTCTCACTGTCAGAATCTGACACTTACATAGCTATCCAAAAGGACGCTGAAGATCATGAACAAGCTGTCATGTTCTAACGGCTTCAAATTTGGAATTTGTTATTTGTTGCCACATGAAAATAAACTGACATGGACCCTTATTGTTTTCCTCGCTGCAGCTATGCAACGAAGGCCCTGGGCTTCTGCCAGAAGAGATCAAGTCCGTGCTCCTGCAATCCGCTGGGTTCCATGGCGTGATGCCATGATCTGGGACAACATGACGGCTCAACCTACCACCAAAAAAGAAAAAGAACAATGTAGCTAAGGCTTGTTTCGTTCCGTGAAATTTGGGAGTTTGGCTAATGTAACACTTTCGTTTTTATTTGGTAATTAGTGTTCAATCATGGGCTAATTAGGCTCAAAACGTTCGTCTCGCGATTTCCCACCAAACTGTGTAATTAGTTTTTTTTTCGTCTACATTTAATGCTTCATGCATGTATCGTAAGATTCGATGTGATGGCTACTGTAGCATTTTTTAAGAAAACTTTTTGAAACTAAACCGGGCCTAAGAGAAAGTTTACAAGAACGGGTGTTTCCAGTCTCAGTCAGGGTTTGATTTTCCGACAGAACCAGTCTTTTAAACAGTTTGAGACACCTACAGAGTCATGCTCAGGGTTTTCAGAACCATATCCGTTCGCTAGTCGTTTAATAGAGTTAAACAATAATGTCAGTATTCTCCTAGTCTGTTCTAGTTTTTGGTACATGTGTTTTGCCTTGTGCAGTTAGCTTTTCTCCTGCAACTCTGAATCGGCGCCGTTCGGCTGCGCTGAAAACCAGCCAGAATTTACCCTTAGACGCTGAAAATTACTGTTTACTCTCTCTCAAATTCCTCCAGATTTATCCGCATTCCTCAAATGTAGCAAAAAAAAAATTCAGCACTGGGGTTTGAACTTAGGTCTTTGAGCTAAGTCGTGTACATCCTAACCATCTAAACCATATTAGTGTTGTTACATGTTATTATGAACAATTATACTTGTTTTATTTCGAACGTCTGGATACATAGGATAACAGCTCGGCGCTAAGATCTACGACGCTGAGCTCGACATCAAGACCTACGGCGCCGAGGTCTTGTCCAAGTTGACGCCAGGTCACCGCCACGTCCGACGCCTCATCAAGATCTCGGCGCCAAAATTTATAGCACCGAGGTGTCAGGATTCATAGACGAAAATCAAATGACCGGGTCTATTTGTGAATATTTAAAAAAAAAAGCTGAAAAATAAAAAATTCGGCTGCCTGCAACGCTCTGCAGCCAACCAGAGATCGAGCCAGAGCCAGCGCAGGGAAAGGACCGGTCATTACCTCACCAGTCTTTTCACCAGTCTGCAGCAGCTTTGATCGTGGCAGCATCGATGTGCACGGCGGGGGGCAGTGGAGACGTCCCGTCACCGGCACTGGCGAATAGCCACCCGCGGCGCTGCCATATTTGCCCACCCCGACCCTCAGCTGCAAGCGCCGAGACCGCTGGTCTTTACGACGCACGCAGGCACGCAGGCACGGATCTCCTACGGCCGACCCGGCCCGGCCGGTCGGCGTTCATCCGGCCAGAAACATCGTCCGTGAACTGGCGGACATGTACGTTGATGTGCCATGCCAAACAGTCCCTCCCCACCCCCACGATCTGAGGGAGAGGGCCTTCCAAGCAAGCGTCGGTTGCCCCTTGCCCTGCCGCCCCAGCTCATCACGATTCCGAAGCCAGTTTTCTGTCACCATGGCAGTATACGAGTAGAACAACAACAGCTGCTCCATCAACCAGGCCGGCAGGCACGCAGTATGTACAGAGGTACGTACGTACACTACGGCCCATGTACGTATCTATATACGCGCACCGTACGCACGCAGAATACGCATAGACGACCGGCGCGGCGCACATGCGGGCATGCGGCATGCAAAGCAAACGAAACAGTAATGCGTGCATGTGGCGGTCTGTGTCTGCAATCTGCTGAAGTTTTGTGTGGGCTCCGGATGGATGCATGAAGCAGATCACCACAGCACTTTCCTGATGAGTCGTCTCCTCAGCCAGCAGTTCCCTGTGTCTCTTTTCTTTCTCAGCAGCCGGCCGTTTTTGACCTGCCGGTAGGTCCCTCGGTCCCTCCCTGCGCAGTGCACACGTGTGAACGAATCAATGCGCTCGACGAGCGCCAGATCGGCGACGCATGCAGCGGCAGCGGCGAGCCCATGATGATGAATGCCAGCGGCTAGCCTGATCGATCAGAGGATCAGCGTCTGCTCATCGATCCGTCCACGCCGGCCGTTTCCCTTCCTCTCCCTGCGATCGGACGCGAACGCGAGTGCCTGTGCTGTGCCACCTTTCCCCTGGAGGCCATGGGGTCATGGTCTCATGGTCTGATCCTCTCCTCAGGCTCAGCCGCTCAGGGCCTCAGGGGCTCAGGGGTGCGTGCGCTTGGAAGGCCGTGCATGTGACTGTGCGAGCGAAGCGCAAGCGACCCATATTTGCTTGGTTCAAAAGTCCCCTGGCCCTTGCAGCTGCCCGCGCTCGTTCTTGTCTCTCCAATTCTGAAGTGGTTGGAGCCGATGATTAGTACGCGCTCACTGTAGCTACTAACCATTGCCTACACAACCATGGAGACGCGAGACGGACTCATGGACACGTACAATGACCATCAGCTTGGGTTTGGAGGCTGGACATCTCTGAAAATGTGACTGCAACATCAGGAGGCAGCAGGGCTGCAAGCCTGCCTGGCTGGCTGTTGGATTACCGTGCAATCTCTCTCCCCCTCCCCAAAAAAAACGCGTAGCCAAATTCAGTGCTCCCTGTCTTGCAAATTGTAGGCCGTTTAAACATTTTAGTTAAGCAGTTTTTATTATACATCTAAATATATTTTATATTTGAATTAAATACATAATAAAACTGTGTATGGTGAAGAAAACTAAAACGATTTATAATTCAAATATACAGAGTACATAGCTTTTTCGTTAGTTGCACCAAATTTGGAAGTAGCATTTGCTTGCGTAACATCTGAAAATACTTATGCTTGTGCGTGAGGAGTAACGAAGAAAATGACGCAGAATGCGCAAAAATAAACAATAAAAAAAATGTACAGCAGATGCAGGCTTCGAATTCTGAAGTGACCGGGAAAGGACACTGGATCTGCAGTAAGGCCCATAAATAAAGCCATAATGACGGAAAACTATTGGGCTCCCTCTTGAGCTGGGCCTCATGTCAAGCGCCCTCTTTTTAGTTTGCTCTACGTGTAGTAATAAAGCTCCCAAAGTTTTGTTTACAAACGAAAGCCTTTTAAATTTGGCTCGAATTGAATTTGTCTTTGGCCCTGTTCGCTTGTCTTATGAGTTTTAGCGAACGAATAGTGTTTTTCTCTCACAACAAATCAGCGAGCAGTACTTTCAGTCATAGCTTTTCAGCAAAGCGAATATGGCCTTTGTCAAAGTACTGCACGTATCTCCTATATAGTCTATTTAAACCTTAAAAAACGTACCAAAACTTATACATATAATATATAAAGCATACACTTACGTCTATAAATGTACACACATACACCCTATAACCTGGAGTACTGGCACGTGGCGTGGGGCAGGGTAAGTAGCACGGGATCGTGTGCTCATCAAACATGTACCGGACACAGGAGCTTTGCCGAGTGCTAGGGGCACTCGGCGAAGCCCTAAAAACACTCGGCAAAGGGTACACTCGGCAAACTACACTCGGCAAACCCTTTATCGGCAAACGCTAATTTGCTGAGTGATTTTTGTCGGGCACTCGGCAAAGACGTTGCCGAGTGCAAAAAAACACTCGGCAAATATTTTCCGCAAAAAATAAAAAAACAATTGCCACCACCGGCCGCCGCCCACCACGGCTGCCATCGGCCGCCGCCTCCTCTAGCGCCCAGATCCGCCACCACGCCGCCGCCAGCACACCCACGCACCACCACCACCACCACCACGCCAGCACCACGAAGCTCGCCGCCACGCCGCCGGGAAAGGAGGGGGCGCTGGATCCCGGGAGAGGGCGTTGGATCCGGCGAGGGGGGCCCGCCGAGAAAAGGAGGGGGCCGCCGGGGAAAGGAGAGGGCGCCGAATCCACGCCACCACGCCGCCGGGAAAGGAGGGGGCGCCAGATCCGGGGAGAGGGTGTCGGATCCGACGAGGGGGCGACGGATCCAGCAAGGGGGGGGGGCCACCGGGGAAGGATGGGGCCGCCGGGGAAGGAGGGGCCGCCGTGGAAAGGAGGAGCAGCCGGGAGAGGAGTAGAGGGAGGCAGCGCCGGCGGGAGGAGGGGCGTTGGGGGCCGGGAAGAGAGGGGACGCTGGGTGGATGAAGGGGTGGGGACTGGAGCGGGGTGGGGCGCTGGTGGGTTAAGTACGATATTTTTCTGTTTCCTGAGTGTCCTAGATCTAGGCACTCGGCAAAGTTTTTTTCATTTTTTTCTTCTCCTTTCAGAGAAAAAAGATTTTTCTTTCTTTGCCGAGTGTAAAAAAGAAAACACTCGGCAAACCCCCTCTTTGCCGAGTGTTTTTTTGACACTCGGCAAACCTCCTCTTTGCCGAGTGTTTTTTTTGCCGAGTGTTTTTAGCACAGCACTCGGCAAAGAACTTGTTCGTCGAGTGTCCGAGGGAATACACTCGGCAAATTTGACGTTTCCGGTAGTGATGGTGGTGGATGACCCGTTTGTGGACAATGCGTGCTCGAGGACGATGATGGCATCAATGTCACTAGTAACAGAGGAAATCACATGTTAAGGAAGATGAATATTAGTATGCTTTGCAAATGGTGGTTGAAAGCTAAGAATGGGATTGGCATGAAACCATCACTAAGAAATATCTTAAAAAAGGTGACAGCTCATCTGAAAAAAGCAGCAGGAATTCCTATGTGTGGAATGACCTGCTGAAGGTTAGACATATCTATATGAAAGGCAGATCGATGGTGGCAGTGGATGTCAAAATTACCAGTTTTTGGCATGACTAGTTGTGTGGTCTTGTCTCCTTAGCTGACAAATCCCCAAATTTGTATGAAATCAGTGAGGACCAGGAGTGTTCTGTTGAAGTTATGAAACAGAGAAATTGGAGGTTGAAATTTAGAAGATGGTTGTACACTTATATGACATGGTTCTGTTAGATAATCTACTGCTACCATGTGTGAACACAACAAGGGGAAGGCGGCGCCGAGAAGGCCCCCTGCTGTGATACAGTAGTCGCTGCAGGTGCCGACGCTGAACTGCTCACCTGCAGCACTG